TCCTACTATCTAAAAATATCTTCTGACTTTAAATAACCCGTAAAGGGTTGATAAGCCATAGAACGTGAATGAATCAGTCAATGAAATACTGATTAGTAACACAGGCATGACAGATTTATTTACATTCTCTGGAATAGAACTGTATAGAAACTGCCATGGCCATAAAGTGAGGAATCAGTTTATATAGTGATTGTAATATAGAAATGATCACCCAATTTATATCCACATTATAGTTTCTTGTTTGTTTTTCATATTCTGATTAGGTATAAATCCACCTCTTCTCCTCCCACCTATGGGTTAATTAGTAAGACTCATATCACTAATACCAAAATAAATAAATAAATAATTTTTTTTTAATTCGTGTAATCGAAAAATATTTTCTGGCTTTAAATAACCTGCAAAGGGCTGATAAGTCGTATAAAACCAAACAATCTCTCTCTCGCCTATGCGCCGAGACATTTTACACTTGAAATTTCAACTTTCACCTTATCCTTCTGTGTTATTATATTGTGTATATAAAGATTTATTTTGTATTTTTCAACACACAGTATATTTTCTTTTAATCGTTACACAAGGCCAATATACACCCAAACGAATTATACTGATATAGGGGGGAGGGGGAGAACATATGTTGTCGTAAGATAAACAACTCATCCATAACTGATAACAACATATCTTTCATAAAATAACCTGCAAAAGGTTGATAAGCCATAAAAAACAAATCAATCAATGAAATACTGATTAGCGACACAAGCTTGTCTTTTAGATTTATTTACACTCTCTGCAATATAAATGTATAGAAACAACCGTGGCCGCAAAGTGAGGGACCAGTTTACATGTCAAATTTTATATAGAATTGATCCCACACTTTATATCCACATTATAATTTCTTGTTTTTTGATAAGCCATAGAAAACAAATCAGTCAATGAAATACTAGTTAGCGACACAGGCCTGTCTTTTAGATTTATTTACATTCTATGGTATATAAATGTACAGAAACTACTGTGACCACAAAATGAGGGATCAGTTTGTACATTGATTTTATTATAGAATTGATCCCCCACTTTATGTCCACATTATAATTTCTTGTTTGTTGATAAGCCGTAGAAAACGAATCAGTCAGTCAATGAAATACAGACTAGCTACACAGGCATGTCTTTTAGATTTATTTACATTCTATGGTATATAAATGTACAGAAACAACTGTGACCACAAAATGAGGGATCAGTTTGTACATTGATTTTATTATAGAATTGATCCCCACTTTATGTCCACATTATAATTTCTTGTTTGTTCATAAGCCGTAGAAAACGAATCAGTCAGTCAATGAAATACAGATTAGCTACACAGGCATGTCTTTTAGATTTATTTACATTCTATGGTATATAAATGTACAGAAACAACTGTGACCACAAAATGAGGGATCAGTTTGTACATTGATTTTATTATAGAATTGATCCCCACTTTATGTCCACATTATAATTTCTTGTTTGTTCATAAGCCGTAGAAAACGAATCAGTCAGTCAATGAAATACAGATTAGCTACACAGGCATGTCTTTTAGATTTATTTACATTCTATGGTATATAAATGTACAGAAACAACTGTGACCACAAAATGAGGGATCAGTTTGTACATTGATTTTATTATAGAATTGATCTCCCACTTTATGTCCACATTATAATTTCTTGTTTGTTGATAAGCCGTAGAAAACGAATCAGTCAGTCAATGAAATACAGATTAGCTACACAGGCATGTCTTTTAGATTTATTTACATTCTATGGTATATATATGTACAGAAACAACTGTGACCACAAAATGAGGGATCAGTTTGTACATTGATTTTATTATAGAATTGGTCCCCCACTTTATATCCACATTATAATTTCTTGTTTATTGATAAGCCGTAGAAAACGAATCAGTCAGTCAATGAAATACAGACTAGCTACACAGGCATGTCTTTTAGATTTATTTACATTCTATGGTATATAAATGTACAGAAACAACTGTGACCACAAAATGAGGGATCAGTTTGTACATTGATTTTATTATAGAATTGATCTCCCACTTTATGTCCACATTATAATTTCTTGTTTGTTGATAAGCCGTAGAAAACGAATCAGTCAGTCAATGAAATACAGATTAGCTACACAGGCATGTCTTTTAGATTTATTTACATTCTATGGTATATAAATGTACAGAAACAACTGTGACCACAAAATGAGGGATCAGTTTGTACATTGATTTTATTATAGAATTGGTCCCCCACTTTATATCCACATTATAATTTCTTGTTTGTTGATAAGCCGTAGAAAACGAATCAGTCAGTCAATGAAATACAGACTAGCTACACAGGCATGTCTTTTAGATTTATTTACATTCTATGGTATATAAATGTACAGAAACAACTGTGACCACAAAATGAGGGATCAGTTTGTACATTGATTTTATTATAGAATTGATCCCCCACTTTATGTCCACATTATAATTTCTTGTTTGTTCATAAGCCGTAGAAAACGAATCAGTCAGTCAATGAAATACAGATTAGCTACACAGGCATGTCTTTTAGATTTATTTACATTCTATGGTATATAAATGTACAGAAACAACTGTGACCACAAAATGAGGGATCAGTTTGTACATTGATTTTATTATAGAATTGATCCCCCACTTTAAATCCACATTATAATTTCTTGTTTGTTCATAAGCCGTAGAAAACGAATCAGTCAGTCAATGAAATACAGACTAGCTACACAGGCATGTCTTTTAGATTTATTTACATTCTATGGTATATAAATGTACAGAAACAACTGTGACCACAAAATGAGGGATCAGTTTGTACACGGATTTTATTATAGAATTGGTCCCCCACTTTATATCCACATTATAATTTCTTGTTTGTTCATAAGCCGTAGAAAACGAATCAGTCAGTCAATGAAATACAGACTAGCTACACAGGCATGTCTTTTAGATTTATTTACATTCTATGGTATATAAATGTATAGAAACTACCATGGCCACAAAGTGAGGGATCAGTTTATATATTGATTGCAATATAGAATTGATCTCCCACTTTATATCCACATGATTTCTTGTTTGTTTATCAAATTCTGATTAGGTATAAACCCACCTTTTCCCCTCACAACTATGGATTAATTAGTAAGACGTATATTACTAAACCATTCTCTCTCAAAAAAATTCTTACTATCTAAAATTATTTTCTGGCTTTACATAACCTGCAGAGGGTTGATAAGCCGTATAAAACGAATCAATCAATCAAAAAATATTATTGTATGCCACCATCAAAACTGCTGTCAGGATGTTCATTGATCGAGCGATCGCGTGTCTGTACTCACCGACAGCACGTCCTGTCAGAGAAGCCATTACAGGAAATCAGTTTATTCGCCAGTGGTTATTGTTGTCATCGATTCACGATGCAATGCCATAAATTGTGCGTAGATGGCACCTCTACCACTGTGAGTCATGTTCCTGTAAATGTAACCAGACAAAACCAGGAAAACATCCGCGTCATAAAAACCAAGAATAAACGGAACTTTATCTGTCAGCATTTAGAAACCCACGTAAAATATGTTAGCCTCAAAAAACAAAAACAAAAATCCTTATCACTGCCTCTTTGGGGGAGGTCATTAATATTTCTTGCTGTATGCAATTAATTACTGAAAGGCCAAATATCACACGAAAAAAAAAAAAAAACACACACACACACACATCTCTATATATAAAGTTGAAGCCTCTGTCTGTCTGTTTGTTATCAATCTCCTCGGATTTTAGGATAACCATATATATTCTGAAACTACGTTACTCAGGGTACTTGGATAATTATATTTCATTTTGATCAAAGGGGGTCCCGGGATTGGGAAATGGGGGTCAGACCCCACCCGACTGATTTTTTTTCCCTTTGATTTAAATTAAAGTTGAATATTTGAACAAGTGAATGACCCTAGGGTACTTGGCTATGAATATTTCCTTTTGATCCAAGGGGTTCCGGGGGGGGGGTCCACACAAATCCCCCCCCATGAATTTTTTCCCCTTTGATTTAAATTAAATTTAAATTTGAACCAGGGAATGACTCCTAGGGTACTTGGATAATTATATTTCATTTTGATTAATGGGGGGTCACCAGGTGGCACAACCCCACCATCTTGAAATTTTTTTCCCTTTGATTTAAATAAAATTTAAATTTGGGTAAGGGAATGACTCCTATCCAAAATATAGAAGTAGAAAGCCAGAAGATGGAGTTCACATCGGCAATATCAAAATAAGACAATATGGACGTCAAGTTGAGCAAGAAATCACCAATCAGTGGGTAGTAGTGCCTTACAATACATATTTGTTGCGACTATTCCACTGTCATATAAATTACTGAAATCTGCTCATCAATCCGTTCAATCAAGTATTGCAACAAATACATATCAAAGGCGTCTGATCAAACTGTTTTTGCACAAACCCCCACTGAATTTCTTTCCTTTTGATTTAAATAAAATTTAAATTTAAACTAGGGAATGATTCCTATCCAAAATATAGGAGAAAGCCAGAAGATGGAGGTCACATCGGCAAGATCAATAAGTAATAGTGAAATGCATTATTTTTCTCTACAAATTATAATAATTATTTAAAATCAATCATCATTTTCTTACAAAAAAAAATGTGTGAAACGCAGCAAGGCGCTGGTAAATCGACTAGTATTTATATATAATGGTGCCACTTAATTAAGTTGGCTGATTCTTTTGTTTAGCTGAATATCAGCCTCTATAGCTTATTCAATGACAAAGTCTAAATATTTTGTGCGCAATTTTTTTGAGATAATAATGGTTTTGCGATACACGTGTTAATAATTAACTCATAGATGGGGGGAAGAGGTGGATTCATGCCTTTAACAATGGTGCTTGCGCATAAGTAACCAACCCAACTGGAATTGGAACTTGGATTAATAATTCCGATCCATTATCCATTACACCACCTGCACATCCAAGCTCAGAGCAACTGGTATTTCCAAGCGCTCACCCATCTAGGTACTGACTAGGCTCGATGTTGCTTAACTTCGGTGATCGTACGATAACCGGTGTTTCAACGTGATATTGCAGTAAGCCTTTAAGAGAAGTGAAAACACTATGACCCTCACCCCACCACAACCAAAAAAAAAAAAAAAAAAGAATGGAGTGTGTTGTAGTTTTATTTGTATTTTTTTTATATCTTTCCAAAGAGCTTTAGTTTGAAGAGGACGGTACAGCCAGAAATGTAAGTCTGCCGATTCGACTGTACCCGCCAATAAACTTACCCTCCCCACTTACGAATATCCAATGTATGTCATAATAACAGGGTAAAATACAGACTTCTCTAATTTATCTATTATACGAGGAAGAGATAAAAGGAAGCCGATTAAGAAATACGGTTTTCTTATTTCAAGTCGATTAGTTCGAATGTGAGAAAAGTCCAGGATTGGACAAACTACAACCCGCGTGTCGTATGCTGCCCGCCTGACGATATTATGCTACCCGCCTGACGATATTATGCAGCCCGCCTGACGATATTATGCTACCCGCCTGACGATATTATGCAGCCCGCCTGACGATATTATGCTACCCGCCTGACGATATTATGCAGCCCGCCTGACGATATTATGCTACCCGCCTGATGATATTATGCTGTCCGCAAGAGAAACAACAAACAATATTTTTAAATACCAGGAAAGATTTAATTCATTTTTATTTACTTTTTATGCTTTTCTGTTTGGTGGAATTAAGGGAGTATGGATATATATCTGTATATCTATGCATACCGTGTGTAACAGCAAAATTGTCCAAATCGTGTAACAGCAAAATTGCCCAATTGTTAGCGTAAGCTATGAACCGTTCTCTTGCTGGAATTGAAGAAATGGTGTAAGCCAGTGGTTCGCAAATTATTTTCAAAACTAAAATTGGCAGAGGCGACTTACTTCAGATCTCTTCTGAGGATTTTCTTTTTTTTTTTTTTTTTACAATTATCCAAGCGGCGTGAGTGAAGCGAGTGAATTCTAGATATTGATTTTAGCGCATAATTGATTCGTATATACAATTCTGACGCCCGTTACAAAATTCTGTTTGCTTAAGTCTCAGTACCGGCTTGGACGAAACATTGCAGGCATATGCCGGGTGTAACAGCAAAATTGTCCAAATCGTGTTACAGTGTAATTGTCCATTTTATTCAGCTAGAAGGAAAACAGGTTAAAATCGTTTTGTGTCAGCCCCATTATGTCTTCTCAACTGAGCAATGGCGAGACGAAAAAAATCAGACGCGCTTTCAGCAATGGTACCAACATTCATAATCTGGTTTCCGTCTTCAAAGTCTGTTCAAGGACTATCAAGAGAACAGCGAATAAGTTTAAAAAAGAGGAAACTATAAGGAGGGCAACTGGATCAATAGGTCACAACAGGAAGAGCGACCATCATTTCAACTTAGAGCCAAAAATATCAATTAGAAAAGATCCAACTCAACCCATAAGACGTTTGGCACATTTGAGAGGAGTTTCAGCTATAACAGTTCAAAGAGCAGTGAAAAGAAGACTTGAAAATGAAATTTGGACCTAAAACATGTGAGGTATCCACCTAGTTACACCAGGACAGAAAGTTAGAAGGTTACAGAGGGCGAAGATCATCTAGAATAAGTTAGAAAATCATCCTGGAATTATATATATATATATATATATATATATATATATATATATGAACATTATTTCAAGACTTCATGAGCTAATTAATGACGAACATGTCATTTTCATTTATGATCGATTTCATCACGATTCTTCTGTTAAGTTTGGAGAGTAATTATTATTATTATTTTTATTTTTTTTTAAGCATTTCACCCCAAGCAAGGCGAGAAGCCACTAGGACGCATGGGGTTACAGAAAATTTGGAGCAAGATCAGATAGGAGTGATAGAAGAAAGGATGAGGAGAAGGGTAGTGGATAGATCAAGGCAACTGGAGATGTCGATTGACACTACATTTGAATAGCTGGAGATTATAGCTCCCAGGGAAACTGGAATAGGGAAGAGAGTTCCACAGGCGAGAGGTGCGAGACATGAAGCTATTAGAAGAGACGGCTACATTTAGGAGTTTCGACAGTGAAGGGGTGAGAGCGGGGTGCCAGCCTCGTCGGGCGCTTGAACTCATGAAGTCTGGGAACCAGCGAATGCAGCTCCTCGGAGCAATTACCATGAAAGTATTTGTAAAAAAGACAGAGAGAGGCGACGGCGCGTCTGTGAGAGAGTGACTGTAGACGAGATGCCAGATCAGGGCCAATTATATTGCATATCCGCCTCTGGAGCTTATCAAGAACCCCGAGGCAAGCAGAAGGGGCTCCAGACCATATATCGCAACAATATTGTTATTGTTCAAAGTAGAGTCCAATAGTGTTATAAAAACCTCGCAGAATCCCAGTAAGATATCTTTAATCATTTCTAATGAGAAACAGTTCATAGCTTAATCTAACAATTGGACAATTTTGCTGTTAAAAATTTTGTACAATTTTGCTGTTACAAATTTTGTACAATTTTGCTGTTACATCCGGTATATGATATTAGCCTGCGAATGCCACCTTCAGGATGTGGGCGATCATGGTTCTCCACAACTTCGTATACTTTGTAGTAGTCCTTCACGTCTAACTTTTTACCATTCCTCTTACCCACGTTTCCGCCATCCGTTCACACAAGGTCGTCAGATATAAAACAGATACTAGATTTGATAGTACAAAACGACAATATATATATATGTATATATATATATATATATATATATTATCTGACGTGCTATATCATTTAGCTACAGAGAAGTGTCTTGTTACCGTTTTTAAACACAATCTTCGACGATACATAATTCTTTGACAGGATTCGAACCTGCATTCTATACGGAACCGTCATTTACGCTGACGTGCCTTACCGATCGGCCACAAGAAGCGTTCGGTAGACAAGGTCGAATTTACTGCTTATAAACTTCAATCTTCCATGAATCTCGTACATTCATAACTGCTCTGGCGTATCAAATGTAAACAAATGACGTCATATATTAAGAAATGGACAAAGTCCGACAATTTATTTATTAAAGACATTTTTTTATGTTTATGTTTAACGTTCTTTTTATAGATACAAGAATTTAAGTAAATGCTCTGTTTATGATAAACAGTATTAAATAACTTTTACCGGCCTGAATGTCCGAGAAATTTTCATAGAAAATATTCGTTCTTTGTGGCCGATCGGTAAGGCACGTCAGCGTAAATGACGGTTCCGTATAGAATGCAGGTTCGAATCCTGTCAAAGAACGAATATTTTCTATGAAAATTTCACGGACATTCAGGCCGGTAAATGTTATTTAATACTGTTTATTATAAACAGAGCATTTACTTACATACTTGTATCTATAAAAAGAACGTTATATATATATATAAGTGAACATTGAAATCAACACTTAGAGGCGACAGGCTGTTTCATGCTCGAAGCAGTCGTCATGCCACTTGACGATTACATCTAGCATGAAACAGACTGTCGCCTCTAAGTGTTGACTTCTATGTTCACTTTTATATTTACACACGCTCTATCTCTGATATTGAGCACTTTATCCCATAAATATAGCACATCTTAAGACTATATTTCTTCATATATATATATATATATATATATATATATATATATATGTGTGTGTGTGTGTGTGTGGAAAGGTTTATTTGTGATGTGCTTCATCCCTTAGGACTTAATCGCATGAAACACGTCGAAATATACTTTTTCCATTTTGTCTTTCAATTTCCTCAATATGGTTCCATGGGATGAGAACATGGAGGAAGCACACTAGCGAACTAAAAACCGCTACGAATCGCTGCGATCTGACTGCGTGTTAAAGAGATGGACATATCATGTGCTTACCTTACATGTCATGTGCTTGAGGTCGGGTGACGTGAATCCCTTGGGCGGTCAATCGTTTTCTTTCTTTTGAAGGTGGGCATCGCTGGTCGAAACCTGAGTGTCTTCAGACTCCAGCTCAACGGGCATCGAGTTAGATCTGGTCAAAATCCAAAAATAAATAAAGTTAAATAAAACCATGCTCGTAAGACAATGCTACTTCCGACGTGAAACACCCTCCATTTTACGCCATTAATAATGGTCGTTACGTCGAAAATTTCAGTTGCAGTTGTAAAGAGAAATCTCAAGAGACTGACAAGTATACGAAAACAATACCCTGTCTGGTGGAAAAAAAAGCTGCTGGTGGCGCCAGGGGTGGCAGTACCACCTTAGCCACCGAAACTGTGTTACTTCCTCTGGTTGGCGGCTGACGAGGGTAGGGTATCGCACGTGTTTTTTACACGTTGTATGTGGAGGATTGATATATATAAATATATATAGTTTTCTCATGTCTTTCATTCACACACACACACACACACACACATATATATATATATATATATATATATATATATATATATATATATATATATAGTTGTATATATGCATATGAATACACATTGCTTTTCATTATATGTGGATTCCAGACCTGATAGAGGGTGATTCATTTTAGTGCGACGTAGCGTCTCTGCTGTTTTCCTTCTCGGCAGGTAATTATATCAACAAGGGCGACTAGAACTTAGCCTCTTGACGATTTTATTTATCCTAACTCTCTGGACTAACAAAATATATTGTCTGACGCAGATAAGCAATCCCAGCAGGATTTTCCCCCAGGAAACCAAAATAAAATTCGTCTATAATCAAACAACTTTATATTATTTAATAAGATTCGTCAACAAAAAAAGAAAAAAAAATCATCCAGGAAATGTGTCCCTAATACACGTATTTGTAAGCAATAATTATTTGATTAATCATCTAGATGATGTATAGTGTGTTTTTTTTAAGTAGTCCAGGCAAATCTAATAGTGAGCGGCATGTTTAATTGGGTCTTGTTTCAGTGAACTTGCAATATTATTTCAGAAGTGTGGTACTTTAGTTGTCTTCAGTAAACACTTGATTTGTTTTTTTTAACTCTCCAACAATCAAAACACAGCTATGGATATGTAACATATCATCCAAAGCAAGGTAATAAAGCCACTAAGGCACAACGGATCACTGATTGGAGTGTGGAAGGATAAGAAAAAAAGAGAACATTATTAAGGAGCAAAAAAAGAAAAAAAAAAGAAAAAAATAATAGAAGAGGATTCAAGAAGATAGCAGATAGCGATTGACATTGCATTTAAATCTTTGAAGATCAAAGTTGGCTAGAAAGCGTGTAGCCGGAAGAGAGGTCTAAAATCGAAAAATGCGAGAGAAGAAACTGTTAGCATAAAACTTACGGTTACATCAGGAAAATTCTTTGTTATCTACCAAAAAATATTAATGCAATATTACCCCAACCCACTTTCCCAGTAAAAAAAACAAAAAACAAAACAAAACACCCCCAAAAAAACAACAAAAAACAAAAAGACCACAATGAATTATGCAGCACTTATTTTGATTAATCACGTTACTTAGAACCATTACTTCACCACTTCTGGAATGTGAAAAAACAGTCTTAGTTGGCAATAATAAATGACAGATGGATATAAGAATACACCGTCGATTATTTACGGCTAATTAGTTTAAATAATGCACTATTATTTGCATCATGTGGTAATAATTATAAGAAAAGTCATGCATTAAAATAAGTAACCAAGTAATTGTTTTAAGTTCTCTGAATATCGATACCAAAAAAGAATTATTCTTACAATCCAAACTTTGATTCGACTTTCAATAACCCACAGAGGGGTGATAAGCCGTAGAAAAACAAATAAGTGAAGTCAGCAATAAAAAATTCTTACATGGGCCACATATGCACCACATTATCTCGTACGTTGACTTGTCAGCTGTCAAGCCTAAGTGCAATTTGTTATATATATATATATATATATATATATATATATATATATATATATATATATATGGTGATACAGCAAAATTGTCCAAATTATGCATTTGTTAAATTAAGCTTTGAAATGATTAAAGATATCTTACTGGAATTTACCTAGGTTTTTATAACACTTTGAGCAATAAGAATGCATAATTACTCTCACAGCTTAACAGAAGAATCGTAATGAAATCGATCATTAACGAAAATGACATGTTCATTATCAATTAATCATAATTAAGGATCGGAGGCTGATGAAGGATTGAAATAAAGTTCAAATATATATATATCATTTTCCAAATTATTCAAGATGATCTTCGCCCTCTCTAACCTTCTAACTTTCTGTCCTGGAGTAACAAAGTGCTCCACATGTTTCACGTACGATTTTATTTTCAATCTTTTTCATTGCTCTTTGGACTGTCATAGCTGAAACTTCTCTCTTACGTGACAGATATCTTATGGATTGAATTGGATCTTTTCTAATTGATCTCTTTAGCTCTAAGTTGAAATAATGATCCTTCTTTCCGTTGTGAACTTCTGATCCAGTTTTTCTCTCTAGTGTTCCTTCTTTTTAAACTTATTGACCGTTTGATGGTTCTTGATTGGACTTTGACGTTAGAAACCAGTGTATTAAATGTTGGTACCATTACTGAAGGCCTGAATGACCTTTTTCCTCTTACCATTAATCAGTTGAGAAGATATTTGGGCTGACACAAAACGATTTTAACCTGTTCTCTTTCTAGATGAATAACTGAAAGGTTTCTTCAGTGATTCTTACGGAAAATTGTCTCAAGATGGCTAAACATTTTATTTTAAGACATTTTTATGTTTATACATTCTTTTTATAGATACAAAAGTTTAAGTAAATGCTCTGTTTATAATAAACAGTATTAAACAACATTTACTGGCCTGAATGTATGAGAAACCTTCATAGAAAATATTCGTCTTCCGGCAGGAATCGAACCTGTATCCTATACGGAACCGTCAAATAGCCTGACGTGCCTTAATCGATCGAGCCACGGAGGATCGTTCGATTAGCAAGGCCGATTTTACTGCTTTTAAACTACAATCTTCTATGAATCTTTCACATACATTCATATCTGCTCAAAGCGCATCCAAATGTAAACAAATTACGTCACACATTATGAAATGGACAATATCCGACAATTATTTTAAGACATTTTTATGTTTGTACATTCTTTTTATAGATACAAATATTTAAGTAAATGCTCTGTTTTATAAAATAAGCAGTATTAATAACATGTACTTAAATATCTTTATCTATAAAAAGAATGTATAAACATAAAAATGTCTTAAAATAATTGTCGGACATTGTCCATTTCATAGTGTAAACATTTTATCTAAAAAATTAGGAAAAAGAAACTCAGGTTAGTTTTTTTTTTTTCGGATATTAAACATTTTGTGGGATGAACAATTATGCTGTTACACGATTTGGACGATTTTGTTGTTGCATCCGGTATGAGACAATTTGGAGAGCTCTTATTTTGACATGTTTCGCTGATCAAATGGCTTCATCAGAAAATGAGTTTTATTTAGACCAAGTTTATATTAGCGAGACAGAATGTGAGTCACGTTAATCATATCCAAGCGGGACTTTATTTTTAATTTAACTGGATCGTTTTTAAGCAACCATTGTAACAAGGAGATTGTATTGTTGTCAGAGGAACACACCAAAATGTGAACTACTTATTGGAGATGCCCAAAATCAGCTAAGTAAGAAAATGTAAATATCTCGGTAGTGTGACAAAGCTCTGAGAATGTGAAACCGAAATTCAAAGGTGGATTGGAATAGCAAAAGATGTCTTCTAAAAGCTAAGCAAAGTATTTCTTCTTTTTATGTGCAGTGTCTTTTCAGGACGTAGGCGATCATGGCTCTCCACTCTTCCCCTACTCCTTGTAGTTCTCAAAAATCTTTCGTCCCTCTGCCACTTCCCGCAGACCACGTTCTGTCATCCACTTGCTTAAGCCCGCCAGGCACGTCATGCGTTACTTTCCCTTGTCTCTCTTTCCCTCTATTCGACCTGTGAGTATCAGATTCTCCAGGCTTTCTTTTCTTATTACATGTCCCAGAAACTTCATCTGCCTCTTTCTGATGTTAAGTATGAGCCTCCTCCATGTTTGCATCTTAAGACCTCATCGTTATTCACACGCTCGTTCCATGGCACCTTTAACATCCTTTTGTAGAACCTCATCTCCGTCGCCTCGAGTCTCTTCTTCATCTGTGAGGAAATCGTCCAACATTCGTTGCCGTAAAGAAGGATAGATGTCACGTAACTGCTCAATATTCTTTTCTTTGTTACCAAAGAAATCCTTCTGTCTCGTAATACTCTGCATGGCTTTTGGAATGCGTTCTTGGTCATCCCAGTACGTCTAGGGATCTCAGTGTCACACTTACCGCCCTTCGTCAAAACACTTCCCAGATATTTAAAATTCCTTGCCTGCTTGATTTTAGTGTCCCCGACCTGAAAATCGCATTTCGGGCTCATTCTTTTACTGATGACCTTGCATTCTGTCTTCTTGTTGTCTATGCTTAGTCCCTTCTTCTTGCTCTCCTTTCCTACCTTCTGTAGGAGGTTTTATAATTTCTTTTCCGTGTCTGCTATCAGTACTATGTCATCTGCGTATCTTATGTTGTTAAGATTGTAGCCACCAATGATGAATTCCGGTAGGATTTCCAATTCTCTCAGAACTGCCCCGCTGTATAGGTTGAATATGTCCGGTGAGAAGGCACATCCTTGCCTTACGCCCCTTTCTATTTTTGTATATCTGCTGAACTCATTCTCTATGTGCATTCCGTTTGCTGCCAGTACAGGTTCTTGATTATTCTAATATCTTTCCCCAATATATCCTTGTGGCGTACTTTGTCGAACGCCTTTGCGTGGTCTATAAAACATAGGTACATGTCCTTCTGCATTTGTATTGCTCTTTCTGATAACATTCTGAGCATGAATATCGCATTTTTTGTTCCGGTGTCTTTAACGAACCCGCACTGTTCTTATCCTATCTCTGGCCTGATTCTGTTGCGTGCTCTATTCGTCAGAATACGGATGATGAGTTTTGTTACGTGGCTCATTAGGCTGATTGTTTGGTGGAGTTCACATTCGTTTGCTCTGGTTTCTTTTGCAGTGCTATGAAAACAAATCTGCTGAGATCTTCCGGTACGAAACAGTAAAAAATTGTTAGAAGCAAAGAAAAGGATGTTGAACTGTTACGTAATATCGGCCCTCCTATATGGCAGTGAATGCTGGACGAAGAAAAGACTTGAGGCAACAGAAATGTGGTTCTACATGGTCTGAATATGTGAGCAACGACGAAGATTGAAGGAAAATGAAGACAAAAGTGACAGTTAAACATAGAATCAGAGACAGTTGAAATTTCTAGGTCGGAGGCTCGATCAATTTGACACTCACGGGACCCGACTGAAGATCAGAAAGACAGAGAAAATCACCTAGTAACCTACCTAACGAGGATGGATGTCAAAACATGGAGTTAGAAGGATGGTGAAAAGACAAAAGTTACTGGGATCTAGGATAGGAAGTTGTGGAGAATCATAACCGACTTTTGGAAATAAGATAATATAGAAGAAAACTGAATGAAAAAATTGTAACTTTGTCGCGTACAATTTTCCTTATACTCTTTTGAAAGTCATGAATCTGTGTATTAAACAGCAGAGAATAATGGGCTTCTTTAGCCTTGGTTGGCAGCCAGTTTAGAAGAACAATCCTGAATTCAAAACCGTAGAGAACGTAATAGGGAACATCTCGATTTTCTTTCCCAATAAGTCATCGCAAATAAAAGATATTAAACAAAAGAACATTATGGAGAGCCATGATTTCTTTTGTCATGAAGGGACATCGGATTTAAAAAAAAGATTCAAATATTAATTTTGTAATGCCATCACCCCCTCGCCCTCTCTTTTTCTCTCGAATCATATCTTTTCTCCTTTCTCTTTCTCTGCCCCACTTCTTATCGCTATCTCGCTCTCACTCTGAATACGTCACTCTCTCTCTGTTTGTATTTCTTTCCTTCTCTCTCCATATTTCTTATTCTCTTTCCATCGTTCTTTTTTTTCTGTTAGTTTCTTACAGTTGTTTCTTTCTCTATCTTTATCTATCTCTCTTTCTCTCTCGTTTCTATTTTATTTCTTTTCCCCCCTTACTTTCTTCTACTCTATTTCTCGCCTACTCTCGCTTTTTCTCCCCCTTTCTCTTTTTCTCTGTTTCTTCATCTCATTTTCACTATTTTTTTCTCCCCCTTTCTCTTTCGCTCCTATCATTTTCCTCTTTATCTCCCTTCATCCGTTCACCATTACTTCTCTCTTTTTCTTCTTTCTTTTCTTTTTCTCCTCCTCGCTCTTTCTGTATATGCCTTTATTTCTCCCATTCTATTGCCCTGTTTCTCTCTCTATCTTTTTCTCACTATTTTTATCTTTATTTCTTTTTCGATTCCGCCGACTTATTCTCCCACACTATTGTGGAGGAGACCTGGGGAGGGGTAGTCCTCCAATTAGTTCCAAGATAACCAGACCAAAAACGATAAAACTAATCCCTAATCCTAGCAAATCCAGAGGATATCGCGACAGCTGGATCGTAAAAGGGTCAGCAAAAACCATTTCCTCTGAACTTTACACGTGACCCCTGACGACTTACTAATTAAGACATACCAAACTACGAAGAAGCAGATGAGATTCTTGGGAAAGACTGGCAGAAAAAGAATCCCCTTGCTTCTGTGCTGACCTAGCACTGACCGCCTCTTCAAGGGTGGTGAATAAAATCACGTGGGGTAGAACAGCAATGCGCTACAAGTTAGGTTAACTGGTCCGCCTGTAAAAAAAAGCAAGAAAAAATTTATTTTTGAACAATTTTTGTAAATTAGACTTCATTAAACCTTCTTTTGTCAGGTTAACATTCATTAAACCTTCTTTTGTCAGATTAGCCTCCATTAAGCCTTCTTTTCTCAGATGATCATTCATTAAATCTTCTTTTGTTAGATTAGCCTTCATTAAACTTTCTTTTGTCAGATTAGCATTCACATTATTTTGTCAAATTAGCATTCATTAAACGTCTTTTGTCAAAATCGAAAAATATTGACCTTTAATGATTTCAAAAGGGAGTTCTATTCATAATATCGATTCCATGTTAAATCGCTGTTCTTAAAGAGTTACCTGTACTTTGTTTTTATTTACAAATATTAAGTTTGAAATTGATCTTAAATTTCCATAATCAAATAACGACGAATAACTGTTATTTGAAATTTAGAAAAAATGCACTTACCAGGCATTTCTTGTTTTCATAGTTATTTATAAAATGGTAAATAAAATAATAAATATTCTATGATTTACATATTTTCATAATTCTTTAAATTTTTTACACATTTTTAAATAAAAAGTTTTTTACCATTTATTTCTTTACAAAGTGGTAAATAAAATAATAAATATTCTATGATTTACATATTTTCATAATTCTTTAAATTTTTTACACATTTTTAAATAAAAAGTTTTTTACCATTTATTTCTTTACAAAGTGGTAAATAAAATAATAAATATTCTATGATTTACATATTTTCATAATTCTTTAAATTTTTTTACATTTTTAAATAAAAGTTTTTTTACCATTTATTTCTTTTTAAATAAAATAATAAAATTTACATATTTTCATAATTCTTTAAATTTTTTACACATTTTTAAATAAAAGTTTTTACCATTTTTTCTTTAAAGTGGTAAATAAAATAATAAATATTCTATGATTTACATATTTTCATAATTCTTTAAATTTTTTCATTTTTAAATAAAAGTTTTTTACCATTTATTTCTTTCAAAAGTGGTAAATAAAATAATAAATATTCTATGATTTACATATTTTCATAATTCTTTAAATTTTTTACATTTTTAAATAAAAAGTTTTTTACCATTTATTTCTTTACAAAGTGGTAAATAAAATAATAAATATTCTATGATTTACATATTTTCATAATTCTTTAAATTTTTTACACATTTTTAAATAAAAAGTTTTTTACCATTTATTTCTTTACAAAGTGGTAAATAAAATAATAAATATTCTATGATTTACATATTTTCATAATTCTTTAAATTTTTTACACATTTTTAAATTTTTTACCATTTATTTCTTTTTAAATAAAATAATAAATATTCTTTTTACATATTTTCATAATTCTTTAAATTTTTACATTTTTTTAAATAAAGTTTTTTACCATTTATTTCTTTACAAAGTGGTAAATAAAATAATAAATATTCTATGATTTACATATTTTTAATTCTTTAATTTTTACATTTTTAAATAAAAGTTTTTTACCATTTATTTCTTTATTTGGTAAATAAAATAATAAATATTCTAAATATTTTTAATTCTTTCAATTTTTACACATTTTTAAATAAAAGTTTTTTTTACCATTTATTTTTACAAAGTGGTAAATAAAATAATAAATATTCTATGATTTACATATTTTCATAATTCTTTAAATTTTTTACACATTTTTTAAATAAAAGTTTTTTACCATTTATTTCTTTACAAAGTGGTAAATAAAATAATAAATATTCTATGATTTACATATTTTTAATTCTTTAATTTTTTACATTTTAATAAAAGTTTTTTACCATTTATTTTACAAATGGTAAATAAAATAAAAATATTCTTTTACATATTTTCATAATTCTTTAAATTTTTACACATTTTTTAAATAAAAAGTTTTTTTTACAAAGTGGTAAATAAAATAATAAATATTCTATGATTTACATATTTTCATAATTCTTTAAATTTTTTACACATTTTTAAATAAAAAAGATTTTTTACCATTTATTTCTTTACAAAGTAAATAAAATAATAAATATTCTAATTTACATATTTTCATAATTCTTTAAATTTTTACATTTTTAAATAAAAAGTTTTTGATTTATTTCTTTACAAAGTGGTAAATAAAATAATAAATATTCTATGATTTAATATTTTTAATTCTTTAAATTTTTACACATTTTTTAAATAAAAAGTTTTTTTTTTTACCATTTATTTCTTTACAAAGTGGTAAATAAAATAATAAATATTCTATGATTTACATATTTTCATAATTCTTTAATAATTTTTTAATTTTAAAGAAAATCACTTCTCCCATTTTTATAAAGTGGTGAATAAAATAAAACTATTATATGATTTTTTTCAAAAATTCTATATTTTTTACATTTTAAAAAAATTTTTTCCCCATCCATTGCTTTATAAAATGGTAAATAAATAATTGTATGATTTACATATTTTCATAATTCTTTAAATTTTTTACACATTTTTAAATAAAAAAATTTTTTCCCATTTATTTCTTTATAAAATTTAAATAAAAAATAACTATTTTTGATTTACATATTTTTAATTCTTTAAATTTTTTTTACATTTTTTAAATATTTTTACCATTTATTTCTTTATAAAGTGATAAATAAAATAATTAATATTCTATGATTTACATATTTTCATAATTCTTTAATGGTTTTGCACAATTTTAAAGAAAATCCTTCTCCATCTACTTTATAAAGTGGTGAATAAAATAAAACTATTATTGATTTACATATTTTCAAAATTCTTAAATATTTTATACATTTTTTAAAATTTTCCCCATCCATTGCTTTATAAAATGGTAAATAAAATAATAACTGTTGTATGATTTACATATTTTCATAATTCTTTAAATTTTTTACACATTTTTAAATAAAAAAGATTTTTCCCATTTATTTCTTTATAAAATGGTAAATAAAATAATAACTATTGTATGATTTACATATTTTCATAATTCTTTAAATTTTTTTTACATTTTTAAATAAAAAGATTTTTACCATTTATTTCTTTATAAAGTGATAAATAAAATAATTAATATTCTATGATTTACATATTTTCATAATTCTTTAATTGTTTTGCACAATTTTAAAGAAAATCACTTCTCCCATTTATTTCTTTATAAAGTGGTGAATAAAATAATAACTATTATATGATTTACATATTTTCAAAATTCTATGAATATTTTATACATTTTTAAATAAGATTTTCCCCATCCATTGCTTTATAAAATGGTAAATAAAATAGTAACTATTGTATGATTTACATATTTTCATAATTCTTTAATTTTTTTACATATTTTTATATAAAAAGATTTTTACCATTTATTTCTTTCCAAAGTGGTAAATAAAATAATAAACATTCTATGATTTACATATTTTTATATTTAATGGTTTTGAAACAATTTTAAAGAAAATGATTTTTCCCATTTATTTCTTTATAAAGTGGCGAATAAAATAATAACTATTCTATGATTTACATATTTTCATAATTCTTTAAAGTTTTTATACATTTTTAAATAAGAAGATTTTTCCCATTTATTTCTTTATAAAATGGTAATTAATAATTCTTTATAAAAGGTTAAATAATTGCATTGTACTTGTTTCAAATATTTTATAATCTTGTAAATAGACATTGCAGAGGGAGTGAAGGTAATACAAAATAATAGCAGAGTCAACGGCGCTTAAAACGTGGCTTTATGAATTTTTCCAGTGGTAATTTAGATTTCTCTGAACGGTGTCGTCCACTATGAACTCTTGGAACAGGGAAGGACCATCACTGCAGACGTTTATTCTTAACAACCTGATGGAAAATACCCTGCTTTGATAAACGGAAAAAGGTGCTGTTCTCTAGCATGATACAGCAAGCCCCCCTCCTCTAGTAAACAATCCCCCATCAAAAAAATAAATAAATAAATAAAAATAAAAAAAAATAAAAATAAGATATAGGATATTTAACAGCTGCAGATTTTCATTTGTTTCAGCCACTAGAATAGTTCATAAGTGGCCGAATATTTATCAAGAAAGAAGTTGAAAACAAACCTCCACGGGTTTTTCTAGTAAATAAAATGCTGTAGCTTCCGTTCTGAAAGTCTCCAAATGTGCAGCTTACACCTTGGTTGTTTTCTCTTTTACTGACAACTATTCTCTCTTCTTACAGTTAATAGTTAGTCCTTTCTTCTAGCTTTCCTTTTCTACCTTGTCTAGCAGTTCTATCATTTTTCCTTTTTGTGTCTTTCGCTAACATAATATCATCTGCCTATCTTATATTGTTAAAATTATGTCCACCAAACCCTGGTAGGCCATGTACTTCTCTTAGGATCATTTCGCAGTAAAGGTTAAATAAATCCGATGAGAAAATAAATCCTTGTGTTATACCACTCCCTATTTGTCTTTGTTCACTGAATTTGTCTTCAGCATCAATAATAATAATAATAATAATAATGAAGTTATAGTCTGTAGATGTGTACATGTAATAGACTTAGAAGGAAAGTTATGCCAAGATGAAAATACTACTTTTATTATCGTCGCCATCGGCTTTATCTCGTATCCAAGAATTTAATTTCTTCTTTGCTGATCACTTCCTTTATGATGATAGCGTTGATGCTAAAATTCGCCAGCAACGTGCAGGTTCAGGACTAGAAGCTTCCGGTTTCATCAAAACTTTCTCCCGTCATCCATTCCCTATCGCCGTTTGGCTTTTCAAGAGTTGGTTGAAGGTGAAAGAAAATCAGAGTAGAAGAAAATCCCTTTGGCGTGAATTTGTTTAAGATGGACCTCAACTTTCCAGGAAGTGACCCGCACACTTGATTTCATGACCGTCCTCTACTGTACACATGGAATGAGACACAGAGATACCAGTTATAACATCAATAATAATAATAATAATAATAATAATAATAATAAATCATATTTCATAAGTGACAGAACATTCACAAAAAAAGAAAGTTGAAAACGGTCTTTCAAACTTGTTTCCGAGGAAAAAAAAACTAGATTTCTTTGAAAGGTGTCGTCCGTTATGAACTGTTGGAACAGGGAAGGACCATGACTGCGGATGTTTATTCCTGCCCTACTTTGATAAACGGAATAGGTGTTGTTTTCTAGCATGACACAGCAACCCGTCCCTCCTCTAGTAAAGCACTCGGCCTTGTTTCAGTCACTAGAATAGTTAATAAGTGGCTAGACATTTAGAATGAAAGAAGTTAAGAGCAAACCCAGATTTCTTTCAACGCGTTATCGAAAAGTTGCCTTAAAATGAAGACAATTACAGTTTTGATAAATTATATTTGAATAAATTTAATTTATGTTTGCTTTCATGTCCTTCCAGCTTACGACTTGATCACGTCCAAAAACACTACTTATCATACGATCACCGAAGTTAAGCAACGTCGAGACAGGTCAGTACCTAGATGGGTGTCCGTTTGGGAATACCTGGTGCCGTAAGCTTGGATGTGCGGGTGGTGTAATGGATAACGGCCTGGAATAAGAGCCGAGTTCCAATTCCAGTTGGGTTCATTATATTTATTAAACGCGCAATTACTCTTGGGAACGATATGAATCCGCCTCTTCCCCCACCAGTTATGGATTAAATAGAAGGACTCGTAACAGTAACTCATTATGATCGTCAAAAAATGTTTACAATCTAAAAATATTTTCTGGCTTTAAACAACCTGCAAAAGGTTGATAAGCCGTTGAAAACAAATCAGTTGATCAATAGAATAGATAAAAGAAATCAGTAAGACGGCCATTAAACGAATGGCTGGCTGGGTTTTTTTTTTTTTTTTGTCCAACTGCAAGAAATGGCGGTTTGGTGTGATATAAACGTCATTATTGTAAAAGTTAGAAAAGTAGGTCAGTAAGAATACGCACCAAAGCAGATATATATATTGTTAAATAAATCAAAACGTGTAGGTCACTTTAATAAATCACATCTCATAAAGACATCCGAACGCTGTCATTATCTATATTATAAGATAGATAGATAGATAGATAGATAGATAGATATGAACAGATTGAGACACACACACGCACACACACACATCTATCTATCTATCTATCTTATATGCGCAGTACTTAGTGGAAAGTGCTCAATACCAGTGATAGAGCTAACATATTCATTTGTATGGATATCTGTATTTGGTGATGATGATTATTACAAAATTATCACTACGTCTGTATGTATGCCCAAACGTGCCTTACCTTGTCTACCGAACGGTTCTTTGTAGCCTAGAGGTAAGGCACGTCAGCGTATATGACGGTTCCGTATAGGATGCAGGTTCGAATCCTGTCAAAGAACGAATATTTTCTATGAAAATTTCTCGGACATTCAGGCCGGTAAATGTTATTTAATACTGTTTATCATAAACAGAGCATTTGCTTAAATACTTGTATCTATAAAATAACAACGTTAAACATAAAAATGTCTTTAATAAATAAATTGTCGGACCTTGTCCATTTCTTAATATATATATATATATATATATATATATATATATATATATATATATATATATATATTATTTATATATATATATATAATTTATTCATTTATATATATATATATATATATATATATATATATATATATATAGATAGATAGATAGATAGATTGTATCATCTGTACAAGCGACAAAATGATATAAAAAGAGTCAAGAGGAAAAACTTTACTTAACCAACGCGTTTTGTCCTCTGACGGACATTATCATTGGCTTAATAAAGTCCATCAAAGGACGAAACGTGTCGGCTAAGCATAATTTTTCTTCTTTTATCTTTTTATTCATATATATATATATATATATATATATATATATATATAGTGTGTGTGTGTGTCAATCTGTTCATATATAGCTATCTAGCTATCTATCTGAGGTTGTTCCCCTTCGTCTATCGAACTGTGTATCTGAAACTGTTCTTATCTATATATATACATGTACGTACAGGGTACGATGAATAAATTGTCTAAATTACGCAAAACTGAAAATAACATTGATATATCATTTCAACAGAAATTACACAAAAATATGTTGAAATACTAAAGAGTAAATTTCTTCAAAAAATCGTCATTGGATTCAATCATGACCGCCAAACGACTTCGGAATCTCTTGAAACTCTTCTGGACGGTATCCTTGTTTAAGTTAGTGAATGCTGCCATAACCCTTGCCTTCAGTTCATCTTTTGTTGTTACAAGGAGTTTTGCTCAACTGCGCCCCACCCGCCACACATAATAATCAATCAGTCTGGGGAGTTGGGTGGCCAGATATAAGGGTTGATGTGGTCGCAGAAATTATCTGGCAACCATGACTGAGCTCTCCTGCTTGTGTGGCATGGTGCAGAGTCCTGTTGCCAGACATAGGGGCTTCCAGCAGCCACCCTCTTGACCCAGGACAGCATTACCTCCTCAAGGCATTTTATGTAGGTCTCTGTATTGAGTCTGAGGATTTGTGGGAAGATGAATGGAAACAGAACGTCACCATCGCTATTGATCACTTCAAAGACATCGAACTGGACATATAATCCAACTCTTTCTGAATCCTCTGCACTATCACCCAAACACTGAAATGTACGTATTACTGGTTCCGGTACGAATGCCAAGCAGTGCAACATGCCGTTACCAAATTTCTGGCAGAGCGAATTGTGTCATGGGGCTCTTTTTCTTACAGACAGTGCCCAACTGATCCTATTATACTGTGCTGCCGAAAAAATCAAAAGCAAATAATACACATACGTGAAATTAAAAAAATATGAAATGCGACAATTTACCCATCGCAGCCTGTATATGTTCATATCTATCTATCTATCTATCTATCTATCTATCTATCTATCTATCTATCTCAATGTATTCATCTTTATCGATTTATATCAGAGGTTTTCAAATTTTAGCAAAAAAATCACTGATTCAAGACCGGAATCGTTCTTTTATAACGGAATACGTACCGCGTAATTTCCGTATCTCCCTATCTCCCATTATTACTTGTTTCGACGGATGCACTGTTTCGAGTTTTGTTCGTGAATCTGAGGTCAGAAGAATTAAGATTCTATTAAAGAATTCATCGAAGCAAAACCGGAATCGTTCTTTTATGACAGACTACATACAGCGTTTTATTAATATATTTCCATCTCTTATTATGGCGTCATTGAATGTAGCATATCTTTTTTTTTGTTGTTAGTGAGTTCAAAAGTGACCGGATTCCAACTTTTATTAAAGAATTCGCTGACTAAAAACCGAAATCGTTCTTTTATGATGGAATACAAAATTTATCTGAAATATGGCCTAAGTACGTAAAAGAGAGCTGGACGATGTTACTATGAAATCATAGGATTAGAAGATTAAATCAAAAACTAAAACGCTGGAAATTTTTGCACCATTCGAGTATTACATCATCAGCGCCAGCGCTATTGTCAATAAGGTTTTTTTTTTCTATTTTAGCAACAGTTGTCTTCTACCGGTTGATAATGTCTTGCCATTTTCCCTCAGCTCGTCGGCGCACCGTCCATCAACCGGCGCGATTGTATTCGATCGATTAAAGCCAATGCCTAAGGTCAAATTAGATGGAGCAGCGAATGATTCATTCTCTTCCAATTGCACACCGAACATAAATATATCATCCAATAACGATTACTTAGTTCAAAATCTCATATATATATATATATATATATATATATATATATATATATATATATATATATATATATATATATATACCTGTAAGAATAATATATATCGGCTACAGAAATAGTTTCCCTGATTGAAAAAAGAGATACAAGTTCAATTCCTGTCGAGGCACAATCAAGAAAAATTAAAACAAAACACGGATAGCAACTCATACAGGTGTACGTTTACAGTAATAATATATATATATATATATATATATATATATACACACACACACACACACACATACATACATATATATATATATATATATATATATATATATATATATATATATAATAATCAGAAAGAGAAGCAAAGAATAACAAAAATCAACAGATTGCGTTGAAGCATGAAACAGACTGTCACCGCTTGGTGTTGACTACTGTGTAAACTTATATATATATATATATCGGCTATAGAAATAGTTACCCTAATGGAAAAAAAGAGATACAAGTTCGATTCCTGTCAGAGGCACAATCTTTCTTTAGTAAGACTTCTCAATATAGGCTGGTTGCTATTAATTACACTGTTTAAGAAAAATTTAAAAAAAAGCACAGATAGCAACTGAAATACGTGTAGCCACTAAAATAACGTTTATATTCATATATATATATATATGTGTGTGTGTGTGTGTGTGTGTGTGTGTGTGATAAAAATATAGTTTTAAGATATGCTATATTTATGGGCAAAACTACTTAATATCAGAGATATAGTGATATATAAGATTGGGGTTAAAATGAGTGGCAATATTCTGTTTCATGCTTGATACAATCTTCAGGACATTTGTGTTTAATTTTATATATATATATATATATATATATATATATATATTATGCAGTGTTACATTAGAATATGCACATACCCACTACAAAACTATATATCTTGTTTTAACGTTAAAAAAAAAAAATTAATGTTTCATCAGGTGGGGAATCACGATGCGACTGAAATATTTTTTTATTCATTGAAAAATGCAATTATCGAAGCATTGCTTCCACTTCCGTCATTAGAAAGTTTCACATAAAAAAAGTATAAAAGAATTTACATGTGGAGAAAGAAAGGAATCTAAGTGATTAGTAACAGCGAGAGGGGGAAGAGAAATAAGAGGGAAAAGGTAAAACAGTGGAGAGGGGTTGGAGGAAGCGAGGTGATATAAACTAAGAAGGTATAAGTCGAGCGTAACAATCTAATCTAATGTAAATCCAATGCAACACTGCTTAATAAATAAATATTTACGGCTCTACTTTTGTATTGAGCTCTGTATTCAATTAATGTTTTGAACGTTGAAATCTTAATCTTCATTCTTTTACATTTGTATATATATATATATATGTGTGCGTGTGTGTGTGTGTGCGCAAATATATAGAAAATAAGAAAGAACTCGTTAGGTAAATAATCCAAAGTTCTTTAGTATTTTTGTTATTATTTTTAAAAAATAGTGCTCGATACAAAAGTAGAGCATAAATATAATTATTTATTTCAAAACAAGAGCCGAAAACTTCAATATAATTATTTGAATTAAAATGAAACATGAAAACTCTTATGTAGCGATGGAATCATATTTTTAAACAAATAATTATATATATATATATATATATATATTTGGTTGGATTGATGTGAGTTTGTGACCTTGGATTTCACGCTTTTGTCTGATGATCGCAAAAGCGTGAAACCCAGGGTCACAAACTCACATCAATTCAGCCAAATATGTTAGCGCTATCTCTGATATTGAGCGCTTTCTAATAGGTACCGTGCATATAATATAGAAATAATAATATATATAATATATTACACACACACACACACACACACACACATATATATAAATATATATATATATATATATATATATTTATATACACACACGCACACATATATATATAGGGGTAGCGAGAAAGAGACAAAGAAAGTGAGAGAGAGAGAGAAGAGAGAGAGAGAGAGAGAGAGAGAGAGAGAGAGAACGTAGAAAATAACCCTGCATGGTGACTAAGTTTCACGCCTCCATTGATCATCAGACAATTTTTATAACCCGAAACCTTCCAGGGTCATAGAGGCACAATAGCAGAGATGTTTCCTGGGCAAGGCAGCCTGATGGAGCCCAACCCTCTCCAGGCTGGTTTTGAATTCGGAGTTTCTTCTCCTAGACCGATTGCCAACCAAGGCTATAGGATCCCGTCTGTTCTGCCATTTACCAATAGCTGGGGTGAGAGAAGAAATTAATTCATACATTTCCCAAGGGAATTATCACGTAAGTAAAAGTACAATCGGACGATACAAACTTTGAAATGTTTTTTAAACTCCGTGGCAGTAACCCACGCGCTTCGTATAATTGTCTTGCTATCTTTCTTCGGCTTGTCACTGGACACATACTTTGAAGATGAAGAAGGGTGCTATTTGTGTAGCACAAGCATTTAGCACTGCTATCTATATGAGCAGACATCTTTTTTGTAAGTCGCACGGCGGTGGATGGACGTGTGTCGACTTAACCGGTTGGAATCACGAATCTAGACGTGGGCGACCCGAAACTTATTCTAACATCGCTGCGCTGTTGGTCGAACATGCTTCGACGGAGTCTTGAGCGGCTGAGCAGCCATTTTTAGGGATGCACTGCTCGTCTATACCACATAAAATGCGTCAAGAAGTGGCAACGCAGCCTGTTTTTCGTCTATTCTAATATATATATATATATATATTAGGTTGGTGCAAAAATAATGACGTAAGAATGTCGTTTTTGACGTTAAAAAAAAATACGTCAAAAAACGACATTTTTACGTCATTATTTTTGCACCAACCTAATATATATATATATATATATTGTCTATAGAAATAGTTTCCATGACGGAAAAAGAGATACAAGTTCAATTCCTGTTGGAGGCACAATCTTTCTTTAGTAAGATTTCTCAATCTAGGCTGGTTAATTAAACTGTTTAAGAAAAAAAATAAAAAAAAAACACACGGATAGCAACTGAAATAGATACAGCCACTAAAATAACGTTTTATATATATATATATATATATATATATATATATATATATATATATATATATATATATATTAGTGTTTAAGCCTTTTATTATATCCTTACTCTGTCCTGGACATCGAGTTCTACCTGGATTTTATCCTCTTGAATTATTTTTTTATACAAATATATATGTATGCGTATGTATAAATATTTATATATTTTAGATATATGATTGCATATGTATGTGTATATTTACCACTAATATTATATATATATATAAATATATATATATATATATGTATATATATATATTATGTATGTATATGTGTGTGTTGACTTAACCGGTTGGAAGTACACAATCACTAATCTAGACGTGGGCGATCCGAAACTTATTCTAATGTCGATGCGCTGTTGGTCGAACATACTTCGGCGGAGTCTTGAGCGGCTGAGCAGCCATTTTTAGGGATGCACAGCTCGTCTATACCACACAGAATGCGTCAAGAATTGGCAATCCAACCTGTTTAACAATCAAGGCGCCCAGCAAACCTGCGCCTGGCGTTGGTTCACAATAGCCCGGGTAGAACTAAGAGATATTCAAGCGGAAAATACTGACTGAAGGTAAGTAGATAGGACGCCAGAAAATTTCTTGACCGCAAGGAGTTTAATAATCCTAAAATACGGTGGAGTAATAGATAGTGGCTTGGACTGAGGAATCGAAGAGCCAAGTTCGAATTCCAGTCGAATTCGTTACATTCACTTCCGTGCTAATACCCTTGGGAAAGGTAAAAATCCTCTTCTTCTCCACCCAGCTATGGGTAAATAGCAGGACACGCCGGGTTTTATAGCGTATGGTGGCAACTAGTCTACCGAAGAAAGAAATAGCAACCTACTGCGTGAAAAATCTGCCTCGTCAGTTATGTATCGAAAGATACATGATCGCCTAAGTGTGTATCACGCGTGGCACTTAACTGACTCCATTTTTTGGTCTGATCTTTTTGTAATGGTTGAGGGTAGCAGAAGAATTCAGGTACTTACTGGGGACGGTGTAGAGGACCGACCATTTTTCCCAGGATCTTTAGCTATAGAAAGTATGTCTAACTTCCACTTGAGGTCTCGGTTGAGTTCCCATAGGCGCTCAAGGTATGGGGCCTTCGTGATGGAACACCCGTTCGCCCTGATTGCTGATTGGGTCCGATCAGTGATGATGGAATGTAACTAGTTTGGTTTTCCAGGCGTTGAATGTAACCAGCTAGTTTTTTTTTTCTTACTGAGCTGTTAGAGCCAGATCAGAGGAGAGATCAGCTGGTCGTCTAGAGTTTTGGAGATGCACCATATTATATCATCAGCATAGATATTCACGAATGATCGGATTATACTCATTTATGTAAAGTAGATAATCTGCCTAAGAGTATATCCATATTTATGTATGCAATGTCCGAGTCATGCATATTGATGAATGTGGGGTGAAACATACAGGGTGCGATGGATAATTTATCGTCTAAATAGCGCAAAAATGAAAATAACACTGACATCTCATTTTAACAGAATCATTTCAACATGTTATGGGACCTACCTTTATGGACTAAATGGACTTGTCTTATTACTATATACACGGGGAGATCATGCCTCTCAAGGGAGCTGTCTACAGTTGACTTGTTCCAGCTAAACAGTCGAACGGGCGGAGAGGAACCCGGACGAGGCTCCGCCAAAGGGCAGAGTCTTGTTCGGGGAGGTTGACTGCCCCTGAACCCGTTTATGCGGGTTCAAAGAGGGATTATTTTTGGCCGAGCCTACGGGCTCGGAGATCCCACGTTAAACCGGCCTTGTGCCACAAGTAACCCTCGTGTGTGTGTGTGGGGGGGTAACTAAATATCGCTGTCTATAGTTGACTCGCAGTCTCTGACTGTGTA